TCCACTTTGAGCCCATACTTTCATGTGAGCGTCACATTAACCATATTGTCCAAGCAGCTTTCTTACATTTAAAAACTATTGCCTGTTTTCTATCTTCTCTGTCTTTCTCAGCTGTGGAAATGCTTTTATCACATTCATAATCAATTACTGCAATAGTATCTATTCTGGCTTGCCCTCTAATCTTGTCAATAACTAAAACTCTGCTGCCCATTTTCATACTTGGTCTCATTCCTGTGAGTTACTAGTTTCCCACACTACATGTTCACATCAACCTCCAAATCATAACTGCAACAGGAAAATACCTTTTTTTCTGAAAACTCTGATATATCACAATAAAAAGTACAGAATCAATGCCTAAACAGTTAAAGGTAATTAAACTTTAGCAATTATAGATATAGCACTATATTGAACAAACACGCACTTTTAATGTAAAACACAGCAGTAAACGATGGTCACAACTCTATTACACTTGTTCAAATTACTCTCTGTACACTAGCCTTAGTTTTTTTTAGCAATTTGTTTGCCAGGTAGTATGATTTTCTTTGAGGCAGTGTAGCTAATGTTTGTCTTCCTATTTTGTTTTGTCTGTGTTATTTGATAAAGGCAGGCGAAATCTTCAGTAACTATTGAGAAACAGCAGCACAAGATGAGTGACAGCTGCCAATAACACTTGCAAGTCTTAAACATGGGAATCTTTCCCATCATTACCTTATAACATGACAACAACATGGCATCGGATTAAAAAACAGACTAAAAAGTCCAGTTCTTTCATTAGATTTTCTATGTACTTGCCTCTTGTCACCGGAGGTGTAGTGCTATTTGACATGCACATTTTCCTCTTGTCACCAGAGGTGTAGTGCTATTTGACATGCACATGTGCACACATGGTTAAGCTGTGGCTTGTTTTGAGGGCCATGTTAACTCTTTTCCTGTGTTGGCACATTTACATACATTAAAGTTATGTAGCTGTAATTGCCAACACAATTAAATGTTAGACTGTCTAGACTGGTGTGGCAGAATAAGTGTATTAGTAGCTATTTGTCACAGGGTGAATGTTATAGCCATAGATAATCTTCTTACTAGGGTGTAATCTCCACAGGGGACCAGCTAGGGGACAGGTCCAAGCCAAAATATGAAAACAGAAATTTGTTCCCCCAGTTTTTGTCATGACAAGTATTCAAATACCTCATAAAGGTATAAGAATTAGCTGTTCTCTGCTCAGAAGTATTAAACTGATTCCAAAAGGTACTGAATGTTCACTGAGCTCCTCCTGCTTCATGCTGGTTTACATGTCAACCAGCAACTGTGAACACATCAGCTGCCAGTGGGGCTTCCAACTGGTCAGCATGTGCCAAAGTTTGGACATCCTGTACTCTCCCTGCGCCATATAGGCCTACAGCGGAGCACTCACAGGCACACAGGTAGCAGTCTGCACGTTGAAACATTTTAAACTCACACTGTCCTGTGAGCACCTCAACATGTGCTGCTCAGAGTCCAATATGCACTACCTCTAAAATATGCTTTGTGTTCACTTCTGAACACTTTCAGAGACAGAGCTGAGCCACAATGCCTGCAGCTAGTAGTGGAATCATTAATTAGTAGGCAAGGTTTCCTCATTAAAATACTAACTAAAGAGTTTTCTTCTGCCAGAAATTTTCAGTTAAGTTTCCTGTTGGTGTATGCAGCACAGGGCAAACTGACTTGACCACCTGCATTAGCAGCCTGTTTATTATTGATCTTACATGCAAGCACATTCATCTCCCTTAAGTTGGCCTCTAATGATACTGCTCCCATTATAATTACCCACGGCATGATTGCTACTAATACTTTTATTGCTAGTGGTATTACTAGTAAAAATTATTAAGAAAAAAAAAGAACAAAATCCATAAAACTCCAGGCAGTTGTCTCACCAGGGTATATATTATGAGAGATGCACATAGTGAAGAAAATCCGGGGAAGCAGACAGTGTAAAGATTTTAAGGATTACAGAGCAGTAATATAAAAATGATACAGTCTAATATACACTTTGGCGGTATGGATAGGGTCACTAGCTGTGTGTGGTAGCAGAATAATGATTGGTATGTGGGTGAGGTTGTCAGTGCAAGGGGAAAAAAATGTGTGTGTCTATAAGGGATGGAGTGTGAGGAGTGTGGGTGAGAGTGTATGTATGTGTGAATGTGTGAGTTGCTTTGCGCGGGGGATGTAGCCAGTGGATCGCTCGCAGCATCTCCAGTCCCAGCATCCCCACGGATGTGTGTGTGTGGTGTTCAGTAGATTGGGCTGCAGAGTGAATAGGCTCATTAGTGGTAGCAGAGTAACACATGGCCTGGGGCACACAAAGACACACGGCGCTCTCTCTTTCTCTCTCACACACATGCAGTCACACTCCAGACTTGCATACTAATGGCCTCAGACTGTGAACACAACGCGCCTCATTATTAAAAGATTCTTATATTTTTATGCACCAGTCTGGGCTTCACAACACATTCTAAGAAAAAGATGAACTTATGAAAAATTGATCTCGGTGCCAAAATCAGCTGTTTACACAAATACTCTTCAATATTCTGTGATGTTACAAATGCAACCAACATTTCTTCTCATGATTAATTAGGGAACATGTTTCCTCGAGGAGACAGTAATGTGTCACCCACAGTGCTAAATGGCAAAATGTATAAAATAATGGAAATGGACCCTTTCGCCTCTAGAAATGACAGGGATAAGAAAAGTTATATTAGACAACTGTTCAACATTGTCTTCGGCTTATTTCTATTTGTTTTACCTTCATCCAAATTACAAATTACAAGCAGCAGGAGAAAATTATATTTTGCCCCATAATTAGATAAAATTTGATGATGAAAACAAAAACAACAACAAACACATAATCCTGCAGAGAGAGCTGGACTTATCAGTGATGACTAAAACATCTCTGAAAATATTATCAGCCATACCATAAACCTGTAATACTAGTTGGACTGACATCACAACACTATATGCTATTTATGAGTTTTGGTTAACGAAATCCTGCAAATGTGATCACCCTTCACTGGCTCTTGAAATTGCTAAGTTTTCCGACAATGACAACAAAACAATAGAGTGTTGTATGACACATTTTTGTAGGCCAACCCGGGAAGTTAGCATCACCGAGGCTCCCTCGACAAAAAAGCCATTTGGATTTTCCCACAGGCTTTTGGATTGTTGTGGAAAATAAGCTCTGTGACAAACAGCAGTTTATGATATTTACATGTTTTGTTCAGCAAGATAATCTTCACAAATGAACGCCGCTTTTATGATTTTGAAGCCCAAATATGATCGCCAGATGTAAAAAGCTATTGTTAGGCTATAAACGAACTACAGCACGGTCCCGTGACTTCAACGTCACCACTGCGTGGTGTAGCTACTTTTGTGTATTATGTATTTATCTATACTGTTTGCACTGCTGCCCTTTTTTTTCTAATAATGTATAATTTTATTACAGAATCACTTAAAAAAAAGCTTAATCTGTGAGGAAACTAAAAACTGAAGCTGTCAAATAAATGCAGCAAAGAAAAATATCAATATTTTCCTCTGAAATGCAGGGGAGTAAAACCATAACACTCACCTACCTCACAATTACACGTTAAATGACCCAAGATAACAAACACAACCAAAAACACTGTACCAAGTACTAAAATATCTCAAAGCAATAACAAGGAAGAAAGCTCTGAACACTTCTAAGCAAGTTAAATTAAAACCCACTACTACAGCCAGGGCAAAGCTTTTAATTTCAGCAACATAACCGCCTCGCTATTCACCCATATGTTCACCACATGCTCACTCCTCTTGGACAAACATCAAATGTTAAATCTGGTTAAGCTATAATGCGACTACATTTATCAGAAAGAAGCCTGAAGAAATCTGACTTGCTGACCTTCTATTATTATCTGTGCATGTACATGATGATACGCAGCAGTTTTTATTTCATCATTTGAACCATGACTCCAGGTGAGCACACAGAAGCACAGTTTATTTTTATGCACTAACCTACAAGTAGTGAGTATAGAGGACATCTGCTGCCTAATTTTAAATGGTAAAGTTGTGTGAGTGGAGGCTGCTGACTGAGGTTATCAAGTGGGCACCTGCCATCCCAGATGTTTCAGTGAATTAAAGCCACTACACCTGCAGGAAGCTTCATAGTGATTGTTTATGCAATAACCTTCAAACATGACTGATTCTGGAAAGAATCTCTGATCCACAGCTAAAGACTTATACAGCATCAATAACACCTGCATCTAGATCTTTTAGGTTTAATGTGAAATCTAGCCAAATAATACAGCTGTAGACCTCTGAGGGGTTACATCACTGGCTCTGGACTCCTCTCAGTGATGTCTTTGACCTTAACAGTGCTAGCAATAACAACTAAAGAAAAAGAATAGACCAGAGAATTATCCAGTGCTGACCTTGGCCGCCTCAATTGTATGTTTCAGGGCAAACAACACTTATTTATAGCTTGTTGGTTGGCTGATAGTGAAAGTCACACACTGCAACCACAGACATTCGGGTCTCCTGATGGTGCTTTAGCTAAATGCCCAAATGCAAACTCTACCTACTGTAGTTTACACCACATAGACTCCAGTTCAGTTTCTTTTTTCTCAGAGTGACTCAGCTCTCATCTTTTTGTGGATGTGTGAACAAACCAAATCAAATTTTTGTCAAATCAGATCTGGGCCACTTGCATATGTGGTCCTGTGTCCAGTTCATAACCAGTCTCTGTGACTGCTTTCTCAGAGGTCAGATCGGAGTCAATGTGTGTGTGTTTTTATTTTAAACATATTATCTGTTGCCATCATTCAGTGTTGGAGCTAACAAAAAGACTGGAATTGTTTATTACGGCCCACAATGTGAACATAGCTTTGTATTTTTCAGAGTCAATACAACATGTAACTAATCACACCTAACAATCTGTAACACTGTGCATCACAACATTACAGTGTTACAACACAGAGTGTGGCTATATGTCTTACCTTAGGGCTGTGCCTCTGGCTTTGGGCTTGTCAGACACCTGTCAATACACAGAAAAGTTATGTCAACATAATTTTGAGCAGTTAAAGAAAGTAGAACACCGTGTTGTTTAGCAGACAGGACACGTTTCTGTTGCATTGAAGACTGTATAAAATGAAATTACCTGCAGCAGAAAAAGACTTAAGACCAATATCTAATGAATGTCACTATGTGTGCTTCTTTTCTGACTGATTATCTTCAGGTTAACAGGCAAATGTGAGGTTTTTACATTGTATTCTGTAACATGGTAACATTCATTATGACAGACAGGGAAGAAGAATGATGAGAAAGCTTTGCAATAAGTTTATTAACTCTTTCTCTTGGCATGGTTCTTGCTGGCAAAATAAAAGGTGTGAGAATATGTCAGACTATAAATCCAACTCTGCAAACACACAACAAGAGATTGTTAGACTTAAAGCATACCTAATAAATACCACTTAGACCTGATAAATATTCTTAACATGATGTACTGTATGTTCATATGCTATTTTCTTCAGTGTCATATTCCAGATAATTAATAACCCTGCAGATAAGACACATACTGCTGCCTCTTGTACTACTAAGACTCCTACTACTGCTGAACATGTACATTGTAAATTCCCAGTACAAAGGCATTTTCTCATTTTTGCGTGTCTGTAGGTTTGTACTAGAGGATATAGGATGGTACAATGGAATAACAGAGTCACTGCTGATCTGAGACAATGGGAACTCATAACATTACAAGAACAAATTCCTAATATTTTGGGAATAAAGTCATAGTTTTTCAAAGGAAAGAATGTATATATATATATATAAGAAAAACTGTAATATATTCAGAAATGAGTCATAAGCATAACATAACATAAACATAACAAATTACTATTTCAAATAATATAATAACAGTAGTTTAACCACAGAACATCATAATGTCACCAATTTTGTCCTTTCACCCTCTGTTCTTTCTTCCTCACACGTTCCCTCTTTTCAGTGAAAGATTGGGATGATTAAGTTTGTCAGTGAAGCCTTCCCTCATCCCTCCTACTCCCATCTCATCCTCTTTTCCTCCCTCTGTCAACTGTGAGTCAATTTTGTACATGACTACATCAATTAGAATAACAAAACAAAAACGGTAAACTCAATTTCTGCAAATATCAGCCATTAATTCATCTTCGAGCACCGAAACCCAACAATTAAAATGAATTACTCAAAGAAAACAGGCACCTTTTCTTGCCTCAGGCTTGTTGTTTATCTCTCTCTCTCTCCAGGAATAAGATGATTAACTGGACCAGTGAGGTTTCTGATAGATCGATGCGTTGCTGCAGGCTAGAACAACAAACCTCCTCAGATCTTTAGCTTTGGAAGACTTGAAGGGCTCAAGAAGATGATCTATCATAGGTTATCTGTGGATATGTTTAGCTAGCTGCTGGCTTAAATAAAGATCATCCCGACCAGTATTTATTCACACAGTCTCCTCTGTAACAAGTACTGAGTATTGTTCCTGACAAAGAAGACAAGCTGTTTTACCAGAACCAGGACAATTCAAACCTTAAAGCCTTAGAGATGTAAAACACTTAGTATTGTGTGTGTGCACGGTATGTTTATTTGTAAAACCTCCACACCCTCTTCTCCACTCGTTCTCATGCACGTCAGGCCTGGCGATACAGTTTTAACAAGGCTTTAAACACCCCCGCGCCACCTTGAACAGTCACTGAACAATGATTCTTCGCTTGTCTTTGTGATGTTGCTGTACTTTGCGTGAGAGACTTTATACAGTAAAGCGTTTCTGAACACCTGAACATTGCGTTCAAAATCCTGAATTTCTGATGCAACTCTTGCGGACAGATTGCACTGCTGAAAATACAGCAGCTACTGGATCTTTATAGTGCAAAACAAAGAAATTCTGTATCCCAAATTTTAACATCTTTGCATCGGCTGCTGGTTAGATTCAACACGGTCAGTCCAATAAAGACTTTTCTACTTCCAAAGGGATGCGTTCAGAAAAAATATTTGGAATCTGTAGAACTGAAGGCGAGCCATTTTAGTATTTTAGAACTAAATAATGCTTAAATCACAAATTATGCAGAAACAGACAAAATGAACAAATGTTTGTTGTTCCCAATTTCCCTCATTTCAACAAAAATATGAGATTCCTTTATATACTCACCTGCCTTTAAGCTTTCACTCCATCTCTTTACTCAGTAACTGTTTGAACCTAGTGACCGATGCCTTTCTATACCCTCACACACTCTGCTAACTTTGAGCTGATCGTCCAGTTTGCTCTAACTGTTTGTTACAGGACAAGTTTTCTCTGCTTCAAGGTCGATTAGTGGCCTCTGCACTTTACTTTTTCTGGATACATTCTGCTGCACTTCTGCAAAAAAGTGTACACAAAACAACCTACTGTACTCTGATATAACCTGATATAACTTAGTGAGAATCAGCACTAAACCTAAAGAATAATGAAATAACACACATTTACTGCATCATAGCAGCCACTTACAAAAAGCAGGTGATACAAACAACTTAAAAAAACCACAGTAAAAAATAAGCACAATCATTCCAAAAACTCAGGTCTGACTCTTTAATTAAAGCTGTGCTTCATGCAGTGTTTTGACCTGTGTCCCAGTGTTTTTCTCTACAAACATCCACACTTGCTTTGCCTTTTCAGATTTTCTTTATAAAACATTTTTGTCACTGCAGCCCAAACTGTGATTTGAGGTTGCTCAATAACTACATGCTTTAGATGCTGTTGTTGCTGAAGAGTCAGCCTTCCTCACTCCAAAAAACATTTTCAGCAGATGCAGACTGCACATGTTTAAAGGTACCCTAAACACACTTATGTTTACATTCTGTGTTTCTCACCAAACAATTCAGACTTTTTTTTCAGATATTTTGGTCATGGATTGTTTGTACTGTTGGCCAGCTAAATGTCTTCTTCTTCAGTTCTTTTTCCTGGTGCATCACTGACACAGTGGAACAAAATAAGTCTAAAAGCAGGACTGGGTGTGGCACTGCCTGTATGCTCAGAAATGTACATATACACGGATGTACCTGAGGTAAAGATGAAAAAAACGTTTTACAATTTGGCAAAAGTGGAGTCAAACTGTTCGGTTAAATATGTAAAGGTGTGATAATTGTCAGCAAGTCATGCTTTTTGACATGTCACAGTAGAAAATGTACAGGTTTAAATACAAAAACCTGATGGTTGATTCCATTTAGCTGCCTCAACTGAAGCATCTTGCTGTTGTGCTTGCTGGCTCATTGTCACACTGTTATGGCAAAGCCGCTGTTATGTTATTACAATGTTATTACATCGCTTGTACCTTTCTTACAAAGATGTCAAAATGTCTGCTGTAAAGGATTAGTGAGTCTGTGTCCTGATCAAATTATCAGCTTCATTACTGGCTCCACTTAACACTAACCAGCTCCACTAACTAGCGTCTAACTATAGCCAACTTTATCCACAGATTTGTCCCAAGGCTACACAACTAAAGCTAAAACTCCTGTGATATTTCCTCAAGTTTTTTACAGTGCGCATGTATGGAGCCACCTCAGGAAACATGTCTGAATGTTTTTGCAGTTAGCTGACTATGCCGCAGTGTGCAGCAGACATGTACAAGGTCCCCGGTGCGCTAGACATTTTCACCAGCTGCAACTGTATTTTTATAGAAAAACAGAGCTTTTAAGCTTGCCTTTGCTCTGACCAAGGTGATCTTTCATCACAAGCTCGCAGGGAGAAAGGAAAGAAATGATGCAGGGAGATACAAAGACAAAGGACAGTCCTGCAGCAGTAATTGGGTTGCTGTTTTTCTGTCAGTTTCTGAAGTCATTAAGAACATCTCTCTCTTTCTTTCCTACTATCTCTGGTTTACTCTCCTCCATCTCTCTCTCCTCTGTTCTTTCATTCAATTCCCTCCTCTGCTCTGTCTCTTTGCTCTGTGCCAAAAACATATTCATCATACTCCTCTGCTGCCCTTACAGTGCTGTGCCACAGCATACTAATGACAGTGTGTGCCTGTGTGTGTGTGTTAAAGAGAGAGACTGTCAGCATCTGTTTATATTTATGTGTTTGCTGGTGTAAATGCTTGGGAGTATAAGTCTGCACGACTATGCTGTATGCACTTATATGTGTGGTGGCATATGTGTAATACTGTATATGCACGTCTGTCTGTTCGATTATGACTGTGTGTGTGTGTTGTGTGTTACCTCAGTGTATAAAAGCCTGATAATACACCATGCACTCATTTGCTATAAGCCTGTTAACAGCATGCAAAGAGAAACGCCACTGAATTCATCTCCGCCTCCCGCCCTCACTCTCCGTCTCTCTCACTATATCTCATTGTCTCTCTTGCTCCTATTTTCTTTCCATCTTTTCATTCCTTTATCTTTGCCTCCTATCTGTGTTGCTCCAGTTTGTCTTGTTCGTCTTTGTCTTTCTCTCTCCTTCTCTGTCCCATTAACTTATTCACTTCTTCTTTCTCACTTTCCTCTTGGTTTATTTTAATCTCTCGTCCGTCCTGAACAGTCATCCAAAAAGAAAGAGATGGAGGTAGAAAAGCAGATGAAGAATGTGTGGTGGGGGCTTAAAAGAATAGTTCACCATCCACAAACACATTCATTTCCACAGAAGATGCAAAGAAATAACGAAAAACATGTTTATGTTCAAATCCTGTCTCCCTGTGTTGATTCTACTGTTATCTCTTGGCATTTTGGAGTGTATCATATCAAAATTTCTCTGTCCTCTTCTTGTAAAGCTGAACTCCAGGATGTATACATACAGTATATTTATCAGAGCAACTAGCTGACCACGTCATATTACTTGGCTGGAATAGGAAATCTGTGTTTGGATGTCCAACCTAAATGGCTAGCCTGGCTCTGCCCTGAGATTAGTATTATGTCTACCAACACCTCAAAAGTTGACGTAAACCCTTTTAAATGTTGTTTTTTAAAAACAGTGCATAAACAAAACCTTTGGGTATATACAGAGGCCAAAACCGAAACCCACACTCACCAACTGGATTTGGCACTCAGCACTACAGCTGGGGATGTTGCACAGAAGTGCACGGTGGGTTTACTTTCCAATATGATGAACTAATTTAAAGGATGACTAAGGTAAATTATAACATGTGTTTCTTTTTGCAGCTTGAGCAATCAGCTCAACATTGTACTCACCAAAGTGACCGCTGAGATCTTGGAATGGAGCACCATCGCAACAATAGCTTGAACACAATGTTCAGTCAGGATGTAAACAAACTGACAGGTTAGCCCAATTAGCCACCTATTTATGTGAAAAACAAGTACTTCTGAAATGTCAGTAACAACCCGTCATTACACAAGAAAAGCTGCGAGGATGCATGAAAATCAGTCTGTGAACTTCAGTTGGGGCAGTAGTTTTTTTCCTTGTTTACAACTTGTATTTGGGGCGGCATGGTGGTGCAGTGGTTAACACTTTCACTTCACAGCAAGAAGGTTCTGAGTTCAAACCTCATGGCTAACCAGTGCCTTTTTGTGTAGAGTTTGCATGTTCTCCCTGTGCCCGTGGGTTCTCTCCGGGGACTCCGGCCTCCTCCCACAGTGCAGGTTATGTTTACTGGTGCCTCTAAATTGCCTGTAGGTGTAAATATGAATGGTTGTCTGTCTCAGTGTGTCAGCCCTGTGATAAACTGGCGACCTCGCCTCTTGCCCAGTGCTGGCTAGGATTGGCTCCAGCTCCCACGACCCTCTACAGGATAAGTGCTATAGATAATTAATAGATGGATGGACAACCTCAATTTGTTACCCCAGTTGGACTTATTTTTAGCACCGAGCATGTTCCCTCTAAAGTCACATATGAAATGAAAGTTAGAGTGTCCTTAGCTTCAGTAATTCAAAAGAAATACTTCAGATTTGATTGGATCACTTTAAAATGGGTGTGGTCTAGTGGAGTTAACACAGAGCTGTAGAAGACTGTTTACAAATGCAAAGGATGATGGAGAAATATATAAATAGGCCTCAACTGCATTTTTTCTTACATTATTGGAAGATTATTACATTATTATCTTTTATTTCTTTTTTATTACATTACATACACTTATTACATTTTGTGTAGTTATTACACTATGCGTTTCTAGTCATCCAAAATAATTTAATGTCTTACAGGAAAACAAAAAATATGGATGCTGATAAAAAAAAAAAAACACTTAAGATGCTATATATTTAACTTCTATTTGGTGTATACCAAGAGAACAACAAAGGAGAACTGTAGGCAATAGAATGTCATGGAGGAGGTAGGATATCTGGGAGATGCCAAATCCTGACCTATTTTTACTTGATTTTTCAAACAATGTGTAAAATCTTAGTTAATGCAAGGGACATAGGCATTGTGATACACACAAAGAAGAAGAATTATTAATTTTTCATCCCAATTCTACCTAATAAGAACAATCATATATAAACCCAGTAATTAAGGGATCCACTTGCTACAATTCTGAATGCACTATCTGTACTTAAATGAGCTACTTTCACTATAATTATAATAACTAAAACCACTATAAATGACCTGCCATCATTGAAAATTATAATATCTACTATCTTGGCAATTATACAATCAGAAGGCAAGTTAAAAGGGGGTGAGGGGAATTGGTTTCTTTTCATTAACAGAAAATATCTCATGGACTCTTTGATGAGCACTGATATCAATCTACACAGCAGGGGAGGGGGCAGCAGCACGACCCCAACTGACTGCTTTGAACCCATCTCTGGCATCATTAGTGCATGATGATAGTGATTAGAGGAGAGAGGGCCACCACGCCAATTTTCATACTGAAAAACAAGACATGAGGAGCAGGACAACCACATTGCTCGGATGCAAAGTGCCCTGGAGTGACAAACCCAACCTCACTGAACCACTGGTGAAACACCCCCTTGAATAAATTGCAACAAGTATGCAATGGTGGAAGAAGTGCACATTGTTTACTTAAGTAAAAGTAACAATTCCACAGTGTAAAAATACTCTGTTACAAGTAAAGGTCCTGCATTCAAAATGTTACTTAAGTAAAAGCACAAAAACATTAGCAGAAAATATACTTAAAGTACCAAAAGTAAAAGTATTCATCATGCAAAATAGAAAACAGTGCTGTTTAGATTGAAGCACATCATATTATTCAATTATTATTAATGTGTACATCACATTTAACTACTTATATGCTTATATGAATTACTGCTGAGTAGCTTGTGAATTTTACACCAAGTATCAGTAAAGCTTGTGATTATACTGTGTTTTGTTTTGTGTGTTTTGAAAAGTAACTAGTAATTAAAGTTATCAAATACATGAAGTTACAATATTTTTTATTGAAATGTAATGAAGTTGAAGTACAAAGTAGTAGAAAATGAAAATACTGAAGTACAGATACCTCAAAATTGTTCTAAGTACAATACTTGAGTAAATGTACTTAGTTACTTTCCACCAGAGATGTGTCCTCCCATTGATAAAATAAACATAATTTGGAGAATCAAATCTGAATTTAAATAATGCATTACATATATTGCTGTACTGACTATTAACATTTCTTGTTGGAAAGTTAATCACACAACTACAAGGAGACACAAAACAACTATAAAGACATACAAAATAACACAAAGACACGTAGAAACAGAAGAAAAGAAACTGTGAGATGGAATAATAAACTTTCCCCACTGTCTCCAAGTGCTTGCTCAAGGGGGGTATTTGTTGGATTTTGCCTCTATAATAATAATAATAATAATAAT